CTATTGAGCCTGAACTGAGCATTCGTCTGTTATGTGACGGACCTCATCATAGGGCTAAACTATACTTTACGAAAAACCGCATTAGTATACTAAATCCTTAACTAATTATGATGTAGTTTCCATTAAAATCGCATACACTTCTTGTTTTGGAAATTAGTGTATCTCCAAAGCAATAATCAATTGACTTGAGGACACATTTTTGAATCACTTGGGCACCAGGTGGTCCAAAGGGCTGGGATTTGAGAGGAGTGTGAATCACACTGCGTCACTTGTGTGTGCCTACCGGCCATTTTGGCGTCTCTCCGGCATCTCACAGGCAGACGTTTCGGCCACACGGACGGTCCAAAAATAACTTTCCCATTCGCGACTACCGCTTGTCTGTATTGGGCAGGCGGATTGGGCAAACACAGCCCGGGCTTGCAGAGATTGCCGCAACTTGCCACACTGATTGGGCCAATCAGAGGGGGCGGCATAATCACTGCTTCATGCGTAAAGAGAACAACAGAAGACAAGACAGCCAATCGTCTCTCTGGTACGGCCGATACCAAAGCGTTAGCGGTGGCATCAACCTCGGATGGCTACGCACGAATCGCAGAGCAAGTTAGAAAAGAAGTGAGGTACGGCAGATGCAATCACTTTCTACACCCTATCGCGTTAATTAAAGCTTTGCTTCTCGCCTATGGGAAACCTGATTTTGGGCCCTATGTATTAGATTCCGCTAGTTTGGGTATCATACTCTTGTAGCCAGTCTGCTTGTATAGCAAAAGAAGAAGAGGCTAGAGTTTTGCAGGGTATTCCAATTCGTTGTAAACCCCAAAAGCTTGTTTTCACTCATCCTCGACTGCAGTTTTTTCCTCAAAGGGACTCTAACTATGGGCGTCTTAAGTGACTTTCGATTCAGTTCAACCGTCCTTATGTGCCGAAAAACATTCAAACGGGGCACTACAGATGTATGCACTTGCTTGAAAGTCATCCTTTTCCTGGCTACTTTTCCTGTGGTGAAATTGTTTGACCTCGTCTTTACAACTTGCTATTTTTGTCAGGGCGACCTTGGTGGGAATACTCGTCAAAGGCTCAATGAGGCTGCCGACGAAATTTCTGCGAAAGCACCAACTCTACGCTCCACAATTGGAAGTTGTCAGGGTCAAAGGAAGTCAAGCTATTTCACTAGAAGGGAATCCACCCAGATGGGTCCGCTTTACAACCCGCGATTGCTTATTATCGGGTGAGGCGAGCTCGAGACTTGGATCCAGATTAAACCGGCCTTAACGCTGTGAACTTGCTCGCTAACATCCAACTCCTTCTTCTATTTAGCATAAGCAGATTCGCTATCCGCAAAAATCATAAAAGCCTGATCAATCTGGGAAACCTATGGAGAAAATAGGTTTTGAATGGATGCCTACCGGTTTCGGGACGGATTGCGATTCGTCCTGTATTAAGTTAGAAGGAATGCATGACTTTGCAGTAGAAATTGCTGCACAATGCACCGCAAAAGGTTGTACTTGGGTGAATGACTGGAGGGGGGGGGTTCGATAGCAACGCAATAGCAACCGGAACATACCAGTTCCGGATAACTTCACAACTATCTATAAAATTCGGGAAGGTTGCAACAGTGTCCCCAAATAACCATCATGTCCCAATGAAGATTATTTCAATTTTATTTGGGGACGAAACAGGTTTACCGACTACCTCAGAAGTTGACGGAAGCTGTCTTCGGCCCTTTGGACATCTGAATCAAGACCTATTGTTAGCTTCTTAATTTACTCCCTACGTGTCTAGTAATATCGCATATTGTAATAGCAAATGTGCGTTGGTAAATCGGGTCCCATCAGTACCTTCTAAGGAAATCAAAGCAGTAACAACTTTGCTATTCCTTTGAGAATTTATCTTGTCATGAAACCTACACATACGGGCGGATAGAAATTCCCGGCCTACTTATCTAGTCGTTTTAATCATTAAACTACAGCTACACAAGCAGTAAATTAGCCCCATCCTAAACATTATTTACCGCAGTAGCAGTTAATTCATGAATATAATCAGCGTCACATAAATAATGGCTGGCTCCTGCATCCACGTATCCTCCAACTGGCTACTGGATCGCATCTGCTATTTCAGATAAAAAAGCTTGCCGTTTTGGCGCTTATTCCATTTCTCCCACTATCTCCCTATCATCATATTCGTCTAGATCCTTTCCCAATACATTTTTCCTTCAAAACTTCAAGCGCGCTTCTCATCCATCACTTCTTTCACTAATTATAGTATGTGCATATCTCACGTTCCATCCATTCCTCGTCTAGTTATCTATGCTGTATGCATGCAGTTGACAGGTTGGCGAGGAAACGTTTGCTCGCCAGTGCTTGCTAGGCCAGCCAGTTTGGCCCATTGTCTAAGAGCCTGTCTACCAATCTTTTGATTTAATTAGACGTCTTTTTGTGGCCCCTTGTGTCTGTGTGTCGTAATTGGATGTGAACAGCGTTGTCTGTATCTCAAGTTGTTCTCGATTGTCCTTACTGGGAGTGAGAGCAAAGCAGTGCCTTCTCCGTTATGCTTGAGGTTTACAGTTTGGACACAACACCGGTGAGCCCAGAGGCTACCTGTCTATTCCATTACTCGATCGGCCAATCATTCAATCAGCCCATCAGTCGACTGTATGTGGGATGTCCTGAGCTCTCCCTTTTTAATATTGACCAAAGACTCATTTGCAACTAAGCTAAGTGGGCAGATGTGCCATAAAGTTGTATCAGGAGAGGACTCGTCGAAGTTACGCTCCCTCCGTCGATTCTTGATACATGCTCCACGGCCCACCATGGTACCTTCATCGAGGAAGACGACTGAAGCCATCGGATTTAGACAAGATACTAATCCTTTTGTTTTTTGAGTTTCATTTTGTTTTGAAGATATCAGAAATCGGGTTGATGTCAGTGAAATGAAGAAAAGACTGCAATAGGAACCCATTTCTACCTCCGCTGGATGTCATCAGACTGGTGCGGGACTCGAACCAAGGATGTAAGAGATCAGAGGCAAATCTGTCACTACTATAATATTGATTGAGAGTTGGCATGCTTATCGAAGTGCGACAACTGTCCTGATACCGAATGTCAGGATTGTCTATCCAGCACTTGTGGGAATACTGGATCAAGGATTACATTGACATTTATCCCAATCACCACCAGTTGTTTCACTTTGCTAAGTTAAGAGTTAAGCTTCACTCAACCTAAGTTTTATTGAGATGTATTCAGTCTATATCGTTTAGGGCGATAAAGGGACTATTATTTGAATTTTCCCACAATAAAATGAATGAACCTTACGTTCCTATCGAATTTCCAATTGCCTTGCTTCCCAATAGGTATCATCATCCCAAATGAATGGAACTATAGTTTCGACCTCGCCCAGGGACTCGAATCATGACGGAGCAGCGTATAATCTCGGCACGTAAACCACTACTCATATCATTGTGAGAAAAATCAACTTCCATTCCATCATTACCTTAAACGAAATAGGCTGAATACATCTTATCTATATGATAAACTGATAGTTCCGAAAACCTACTTATAAACGAAAAATAATTACTCTAGTCGATTGCTATAGCAAATACAACTCTTTTAATCCGTAATCTCACCACAGAATGTGATATGGAAAATGTCTGGCCTTCCTTTAAATTCACATCTGTTCTATGACTCAAAGGCCCTCGTGGCATTGTGGTGTAGCGGTTAACGTGTCGAGATTAAACGCTGCACTGTCATGTTTCGAGTCCCGCTAATGGTGCTGATGAGACCAATGCGGGGTCGAAACAGCAGTCCAGACTGGATGAAAATACCTTTTGGAAAAACAAAACCTTGTAAAATACAGTGGAAACGTTAGGTCTATTTATATTCTTGAGGGAAAGCTCAACCTACAGTCCCTTACGAAATAAGAATTTATCTGCATTTCAAGCCTCTCTTTATTGTCTAGGCAGCAACCACATATGTGTGAAAATGCTATCCAACCTGAGTTATACAACAAGAAATGCACATTGTGAAATTCGTGTCGAAATATAATCACGTGCTTGTAATTAAACTCGATAGAGAACTATATTTTTTGAGAGTAACAGTTTTATTTCGTTAGGATAAATCACGATCGTAATTCCGTGCAAAAGTTGAGACTACTGCATTTACTCTAAACCAGAGCCAAAAGTACTCCATAAAGAAACTACTCAAATATAGTACATCTCGACAATAGTCTTTTCGATCTTCTCATTACTGGGGCTTTGGTATCCTGACTTCTTCCCAGTCTGTCTACTCTAGAGGACTGAGAAGTGTGACTCTGCCTGCGGATTCCGGCACATTGTGGAAGAAATAGAGGAAAAAAGCTGAGATTCGAAGAAGCCCTTAGCGCTTTAATGTGAATAAACAATCCATTTCAAAGAAATTCGTGAAATAGTCTTATCAGAAATCGAAGCAAGATTGACCTGGAGTAATGTCTTTGTGAAGACGTCCTCGCTTCACCTCCCTGCGATTCCATGAACCCGTACAACTTTTCGTCTATCACATGGCAGACGAATTCCTTCCAACTAACTTGTCCTTCGAAGTGGAAAGCAGATTCACACATCGTGGACTGACGGGATAGCCAAGCGCCGCTACACAGACGATTGGCGGCTCACGCCGGCTAAACATGAGTTCGACTCATCCTCAAGATAGTTACCGCTACGATAGCTGGCATACCTTACCCAAAGGGGTACCGATTAACCTGGTCACAAGTAGTTGACAGAAACATGAGCAGGGATGGGCCCAACAGGAAGCCCACTTTCGGCCAATCTGTCACATCTCCGTTAATACGGCACCATACCCCGCCGAGGTCATGGAGGCTTCTCAACAAGTCGCTCGGTCTCACTATACTTTGCCCCCTCCATTACGATTCCACTCTCCTCCAAGCTCCCCACCTCTACAATACACTTTTGCTACTGTAAATGTCATCATAAACACGCTCAACGTCAACTCTTCTTTTCGCGTTAACAGACTAATTAGCATAGCCCATCTTGGGATCTTGATTTATCGGGAGCTCAATGTGCCGTAAGACATTGAGGATAAGCCCGAGAAAAAGTGTCTGTCAGCCAGACACAGAAGGGACAGTAAAAGTGGACGATTGATAGTAGTGGGGCAGACAGATACGGAGGATACATAGGCCCAATGACAAGCAAACAAACATGCCTACAGGTTGACAGACAAATACCGAAACATGAAGAAAGATGCAGATTGATAGACGCCTGGAGAAAGGGGGCCAACGGGAACGGGTGTAAGGAAGGGGTATTTTGGCAGAAATATATATATGTTTACATGGACACATGGGCACATGCAACCTGGCCTGTCGAGGCCACTTTGCGCGTTGGCCAATTATCGTATTTGCTTTCCAATGCGCTGAAGTTAACAACTGGCGTGGCAAACTGCCTATCCGCCGTCTCCACACTCCCAAGAAGATCCGCCTCAATCCGTCTCAATGCGACTTCGGCCCCTAAGCCAAATCGCCGGGCGTGTGGCCAACTCGCCTCCAAAACGGACAAAACATAGGCTTGGTCAGATACAAATATCACTCCTTTTCGCCCAGTCCACCAGATGGTACGTGCCGCCCCGGAGGTATCACTACCAAGAAAATTAGCTTGGACTACCATCAGTTGATTTATAGGCAGGAGGCATGTTGCGAATTATCGCTTTTTAAATATCTGTTTCCGCTGCATTTGTCTTCCCGACTTTGTTCCAGTGGACACTGAAAGGAGATTCAGGAAATCCATCGTCTGGTAGTAAAAATGAACAAAATGGGAAGTTGAGCAATCCTCAAATATGCTTTGGAAACAGTGGAGAAATACTCGCCTATAGTCAGACCTGAATATATATATATATATATATACACATATATAGTACTTGAATTTGTCGTATTTTCTCAAGAATACTTGTCGACCAAGTT